CGTCCCGCGCGATTTCGCAAAGTCTGACATCGGCCTAACGAAGAAATTATGAACTCCCATCCAGCTAATCTGTACCGCAACGTCGGAAGCCATGAGAAGCAGGTCTAAGGAAGCATCATTCAGAACTCACCACATTTACAAGTGACGCAGCTGCATGGTGTGTTAGACGTTGACCGGCCAGCTTCGAAATGACTCGGAACAACCGATGGCCAATGTGCTGTTTTATCAGATCATTACGGAATTTCACTGCTGTTTCCGTATCGAAACTCTAAAACATCAAGCATGATCAACTACGACAAAGCGAACTTTTTTCTTTGAAAATACCGTTTTCCGCTGCTCCTGCATGAACAACATCACATATCCCGTCGCTATTTTTCGGAACTCTTCCCGAATGGCGCCCTCTGTTGGCAGATCATCAGACATTCGCCAATAATGCTTAAATACTTTGAAATAGAATCCAAATGAGGAAATACAATGCAGACAAATTACAAAGATGCCTAGATTATGTACCGAGCGCTTCGCCTCAGGTGAGAATCGAGCACACACCACCCGATTTCTGGGCCCTTGTGATCCGGAAGGCGAAAGGCAATGGTAGTAGCATTGACTATCACATGATCATCACAATGGTAAGTACTGATAAGTTATGGCAAATATGCCATCGATTCTGAGAGAAGGAGCAGATTGGCTTTGTGCTGCAACCTGTTTGTGTCACAGGAGGTCCGGGTTAGATTCCCGCTTAGGGCCAAGCGTTTTGTCCATAACACAGCAGCCTTTTGACAGCTTTTGCATGACCAGACGTGATCAACAATAGCTGTTAGCAATCAAAATAAGCAGTAGACTATTTTAATAACTGACCTGCGTTTCTGCTTTGAGCTGCTCACATGGCTCCCTCTCCTCATCAGTACTTTCTACCATTTTTTCACAGATACCTTAATTAAAGACAATGTGATCGTAACAGATGTGAAGCATAGGATTCTGTGCCAATTATTAAACACCTACCAGTAAAATTATGCCCGTCATACCACAACAAGGTACTCCAAGTTTGAGTTGGTCTCATGTGTAAGGCAGCGAATAGAGGATTTTGGCCAAGTGATTGCAACAGAAGATCCGTGAATGCCGTGCCTTGTTCTAGTTCACATTTTCCCGTATCTAGCACAAGACGCGTTGGCGTTGCATGGATGACCTTCAAAAGATACATCAGTTACTAATGCCAAACTTGGAAGAGGGCTCAAGTATATTTCGCACTTCACCTTCGCACCGAGCCGTTCGCACTCAGCTGCTAATAGAAGGACGAGCTTCCTCTCCAGGATTCCGACGCTTCTCGTTATAGCGGATCGAACAGTAGCGCGTATAGAGTTGGAAGCACCTTAGACTCTCGATTACATCATAGGCTCTCAACACCTTATTCAAACCTGTCGTTCACGACGGCATGGACAAGCAAAGATTAAAGATAGAATAGAAGATATCTGTACTGAAAAAAAAAGCTAATTCTTTCCGACTCTTAACAAAAGACAACTTGAAAGCTTACTTCTCGAGGACTACGAATGATTTCAAAAGTCACACTCCTGTTTGAGTCAATGTTGATGGAACGTTCAGGGCATTCAAGTACGAACGAATGCCAGAAGCCCATCTCACTTAAAGGAATCTTGCGCGGAAAATTCTTGCACTCTTTCCTAACATGAATATGTCAGTTGTGATCACTGGAAATAGCACACAAAGTTTCACGCATGAAGATTCGGTTTCTGAAGAGAAACAAACGTACAAAAACTACACGTTATGGACCATCGAAGGACCAGGAGGCAGAGCCAGGCGAGGCATGGAAAAGACGGCGTTTGGCCGGCTACGTACCAGGCGACGCAATGAGAGAATCGGGTTAAAGCGCGCGATTTCGGAGAGTGGAGACAAATCGATCGATGGAATAGGATGGAGTAGAAGTGTAAGATGTGAATGCAACGAAGCAGAAGGCCAGAAAGAGCTTCTAGTGAATGCACTCCAAGAACCAAGTTTGAGCATCCCCGTCGCCAGCATTCGTGAAAGACGTCCGTGGGCAATTCGAACGCGTAGCAGCCTTTTCGAGTTTTCGAATTTCTAATCAAAACGAAAGCAATACTTCAGTTCTTTTCACTATTATCGTGGATAATGAGTCTCAAGCCAGTGATTTATGGCTGAAATAGAATCATGATTTTTCCGCGCAAGATTCCTTTAAGCGGTCACCTCACGCTACGCTGATGCTCCAGGACCCGTCGTGACCGCTCGGTGTGGTATTGGAGCATTGGATTACAGTATTGAATTACAATCAAACGTGAAGATCACCTGCTAAGTGACATTACGACTTGGTCAGCACGCTTATTGGCACTGTGAGCAATATCCCGGACACATTCTGTCAACATCAGCTTCAGAACTTTCAAAGCCTGCGTCCACAGCAGCCCCTTCATCAAAAAGCCGAGATAGTATTCCTAAAACAGAGGAGAATTCGCAGCTGGCAAGAACTCTGAAGAGCTTCATCAAGTGGAGTCTCTCGACAATTGAACTTGCAAATGCTGGAGCGAAAAAAAAGCTTCAACAATTCCTTCACCTACCGTAACCCATTGTAAGAATCGGATGGTAGTGCAGCCATGAGTCAAACCAACTGTGCGTCTCACCTTAGCCTTCAAGCAGTCGACCCCGCTGTACTAGGGCAGTTACCTGCATGAAATACAATTTTCAAACGTCCAGTGACAACATACCAACAAGCCTTGAAATTGTTTCGGCGAGGAAATCTTTTTTTTGCGTTTTTGTTTTTTTTTCGAACTCGTTACAATGGTCAAGCTCTCTGGTAATCGAGAGGAAATTAGCAGATGATTAAACATTTTGGTATGGCTTGCATACTCATACATACTCATAC